GGTGTGGGCGCAAGGGGCGGGTCGTACTTGGCAAAAGGGGTGGGGGGGGAAGGTAGAGAGAGAGGAAAAGAGATCGTGGTTTGAGCAGCAGCAATTGACTGAGACTGCGACTGCGACGGTGAATGGCCGCGTCATACAATACAATCCACGCATCGCCTCATCCTCTTTTCTTGTTCAGATATTTGGATATCTAGCTGGCTACCGTCCTAGCACGCAAGAGACGTGTGGGGGAAAATCAAGGTCAACAACTCGATTCGCTATTCGTATGCATTGCTGATGAGCACTTTGTTTCGGCTTGGGTTTAGGGGATGTAGATGAACAGAGCGCCCCGTGCATAGAAGTCGCTGCAGACACCGTATGGTCAAAGCATTGTGCTGGCGATGCTTTGCTCTTGGCCGAGATTCTGACCTAAGGCCTCGCAAGATCAAATTAGGTCGACATGGCGTGAGAAGTCTTTTCCAGCTCAGCCCTAGAGATTGCGGCAAGGGGGAGAGGATGGTGGCGCAATGTGTCAGAGAGGGGCGTCATGCTCTTGCTTCAACCAAGCAAACCTTGCTAAACACAACTCCGAAAAAAGGGACGAGCAAACTGCCACTAACCTTAAGGCTAGACTGAAATCATCCTCCACATCATCATCGTCCCAATTATCCTCCCACAGATGATCAGCCCCTCCAGTCTGAGAACCAGTGGCGCCTCGCTCGCCAATCATGCTCGATCCTGCTGCTCCTGCAGCGCCCGATGGAGTGGTGTTGGAAACTATGTGGGACAAGGAGGTGGCCGAGTCTTGCCAGTCTGTGCGAGACAAAGACGCGTTTAGCGATGTTGCGCGGCAGGTCTGAGATCATGCACGCGAAATTTGGGATGACAAAGTGGCGCTGTGAAGAGGGTGCCGAGACCTGCGATTGCTGGCCCACCTAATAGGGTGTTGCGTCCCGTCCAGCATGGTCTGCTTCGTGCTCCGCCATACATCATGAACTCCCACTCCCACTCCCACCCCCACCCCCACCCCC